AGTATCACAAGCAGTAGTTTGGTTTGTAATATATAAAATGTGTCACTCAGTCAATTTCCTCTCAGTAGATTTTAAACTAGGATTCCTGATTAAAGATATGGTCATTTTTTTCTTTGTAGAACATAAGGAACCAGCAGAAATACCAGTGACTTCTCAGGTTCTTCTTGTGGTTGAGGTAGTGTCCTCAGCAGCCATTCTTATTCTGTTTAAGAATTTTGACTGTGTGTAGTCAGAAAAAAATCCTTCAAGTTTTATTTTCAGACCAATCAGTTTGTCTCTTTCTCCTTCTCTCCCTTTTCCTTCTCCACCTTTCTTTCATTTTCTCCCAGATCCTCTCCACCCTCTTGCTCCTCTCTCTCCCCTTTCCTCTCTTCCTATCATTATATTTTGTAGTAAGTACAATCCCTCCCTTGGTAGTTAGTATATAAATGTATTTTTGTATTAAAATAAACTCTTACCATACCTGGTGGTTATTCATTAATGAATTGGTATTTCTTCCTTTCTAGATTGAAGTATTGAGAATTAACCCCCAAACTATTATAACTAATCTATTATAAATACAGTCACTTGTAGCCGTTAGTACTTAGACAGTTATTAACAGAAAGATAGTGGATATAATTGAAATACTATCAGTTCAGAGAAAGATAGACCAAATAAAAACTCATTTCTCCTTAGGAGGCCACTTTTAATCTCTCTAAACCTTCATTTTCCTTCCTTAAAAAAAAATGTATGTAGCTCGATGTCATGGTACAGGCCTATACTCTTGGGAGTATAGTATAGTAGTATAGTACTAACTATTTGGGAGATTGAAGCATGAGGATCAAAGGGACTCAGATGGTAGCTCAGTGCTGGAATACTTACCTAGCATATGCAAAGCCCTTAGTTCAATTCTTAGAATGACAGAAAGGCAGGGAAAGGGGGTGGGGAACAGCAAAGGGGGGAGGGTTGGAAGGGGTTGATGATGTTATACATAGGAATAATTATAATCACAGGCACTGGTGAATGTTTACATGCATCAATCCTTAAAACAGCTAATGAGACTATATCAGTCAATGTGGATTGGTGGAAAAAATTAAAATAAAAAGCATATGATCAGACATTGGAGCCCTTTTTATTCTGCTGTACTGCTGTTGCCTCCCTTTGAATAAATATAGAAATCATGTTGACTGTTTCTTGCATTTCAGTTCACAGTCTTTGAAGTAATTTATAGGAAAAAGTGGCCAGGAACCTCTTTTTCAGGATATTAGATTTGTAGGGAACGTGTATAGATTACATCTCCTTATGTAGTTGCTCTGCTTTCTTCAAATGAGACTAGTTACTAGTTTAACTTTTGCAAACTTTTCTTCCTGAATTGAAAATGATCATAGTAGGGCTGGAAAGATGGATCACCAGTCAAGAACGCATCTTGATTTTGCAGAAAACCTGTGTTTGGTTCCCAGCACTATGTCAAAATAGCTCACAACTACCTGTAACTCCAGCTCCAGCAGAGCTGGTGCTTTCTTTTGGCCTCTTCAGGCAACTCCCCTAACATGCACATATCCCCCACTTAGACAACACATGCATACACATGATTAAAAATGAAATAAATCTTTTATTTTAAAAAATGATCATAATACATATAATTCAGTTTTCAGTTGTTACTAGATCATTCCTTAATTATTCTCTTATTTCCCAAGATAATGAAATGAGTGTACTGAAAGGACACTTCATTCTGGCTACTTCTAGGAACAGGAAAGCATTGTTCTCAAAGGAGAAAGTATGATAAATAACATTTGCTTGACTCAAAACTGGTATGTTCCCTATATCTAATACTGTTAGTATGATGCGATAAAAAAGAACTTCAGAAAATTTATGTATAGATTGGTTGGGATGGTGCATGGTTGTGTGGCTGAGTGGACAAGCAAGCGAAGGCCCCAGGCTCATCATTACATGTGTTCCACAGTGGCCAGAACATATTTACATTCAATTCCTGCCCCACTTATTTAGATACCAATACCAATGAGAGTTTTCTTTAGTTCTTGTACATAAAGCATTGGGTTATTTGCTTAGATTCTTTTTTTGTTACTTAATTATTATACTTAGGCTATTCCTTATGCAATTGGCCCTCTATATTTCAAGTTCCATATCCACATACATAGATTAAATTGACCGTAAAATGGAAAATGTTTTTCATAAATTACATGTTTTTCTTATTATTTCCTAAACAATGCAATTCAGCAACTATTTATATAGCATCTACATTGTACATATTACAAATAATGTAGAGATGACAAAGTATACAGAAAATTGTGTATTATATGCAATTGTATTGAATATGTATATGTATTAAGTGCAAATTGTAGCTGTTTTATGCAATAGGCTTGAACATCCTTGGATTTGGGTGTTCTTGAGTACTTTTCATACTAATCCCTCTTGTATACGTGGGCTGTGGGACTGCGGGGGCTTGGTGAGACTCTTAATCTCAGGGTTGTGGGTTCGAGCCCCATGTTGGGCGCCATTTGTAGCTGGAGAGCTTCTCTCCAAGTCCCACTAAGCCCCCGCAGTCCCACAGCCCACGTATAAAATAATCACTCAGACGCTTTATATTATAAACTGTATGGCCGTGGCAGGCTTCTTGTTATCTACTTCTTTTATCTTAAATTAACCCATTTCTATTAATCTATAAGTTGCCACATGGCTCGTGGCTTACCAGTACCTTCCATCTCGTTTGTCATGGCAGCAGCTGGCAGTGTCTCTCTGCCTCAGCCTTCTTGTTCCCAGAATTCTCTTCTCTGCTTGTCCCGCCTATACTTCCTGCCTGGCTACTGGCCAATCAGTGTTTTATTTATACAGAGCAATATCCACACTCTTGGATCTCAAGAGACAGCTGTACATCTCTGAACTTGAAGCAGTTGAAGAATACATATGAAATATTTTCTTTTCTCATACCCATGCTTCTCCTTCCGTTTGTTCTTCTCTCTCCTGGACACAGATCTTATTATGTAACCTAGGCTGGCCTACAACTCATTATCTTCTTGCCTCAGTGAGTACTGGAATTTAGAGACACTTACCAATCTGCTTTTGTATATGTCTTTTTTTTTAATAGAAAAATTTAAATGGCATGGCTTATAAAGACTTTGGAAAATATTTTTAAAGATAATTTTATAGCTCTAGTTTTTTAACATAAGTACTGGCATACTCTTTTCATTCTTAATTATAGTAATTATTTTGCTGTTAATCCTTGCTTTTAATATACTGTTAATATGCTTGCTTCTATCTTCCTCATAGTTTTGATTTTCCATTTTTATCATCACCTTATTATTTGATACTTTCATATTGCATATTTTGCTATGAACAAGCTTGCCTTAGTTTGTTTCTTGATGTCATGATAAACACCACAAGATCAAAAGCAGCTTGGGGAGGAAAGTGTTTATTTCCTCTTACAGCTTATAGTTCATCCTGAAGGGGAGTGAAGATAGGAACTCCAGGTGAGAAATAAAGCAGAGGTCATGAAAAAACACAGCTTACTGGCTTGCTCTTCATGGCCTGCCCAGCCTGCCCTCCTATAAAACCTAGGACCACCTGCCCAGGGATGATACTGCCCACAGTGGGTAGACTCCCACATCAGTTTTAATTGAGAAAATATCCAGCAGACTAGCTCGCAGGCCAATTTGATGGAGGCATTTTCTCAATCGAGGTTCCCTCTTCCCAAGTGACTCCAGCTTGTGTCAAGTTGACAAAAACAAACAAACAAACAAACAAACAAGCTAGTACAAGTAAATTATAAGTTATAAGTAAAATAAACCTACATTTTAAATGCACAACTGAGTTTATCTTAAATGAGTAGGGGTCTGTGTACTGAAAGAGCTTACAGAATTAATTTTGCTAGCATATTATGAGAAGGTTTATAGCTTAGTTAAAGTAGGGTAATTGTTGTTTTTTAAAAAATTTCCATGGAATACTTTTGCCAGCCATAGTAATTCATAACCTTATTTGAAGTCAGGTGATCATAGAACCATCTCTGAAACCCTGATAAGTAAGCTCTCCTCTTTAGAAAAAAAATTCATATGTGATCTCCCCCAATCTAGTGTCATAGGTTCACAACCCTCTAACTTAACTGATCTTCATGTTTAGAGCTAGTATCTTAGACTGTGAGACAGGGACTAAAAGTTACTGACTATAAATTATGTTAGATATGTGAATCCAAAAATACTGTTTCTAGTGAGTTCTTTCCACTGCTTAATGCTACCACATAATCAAATGAAAATTATCATCACTTCTTTTTTTCCTGTCCAAAATTATACTGTATCTTATAAATTCTGTTGCTTGAGTAGTAGTATTCCTTAAACCTCTGTCTAATGTTAAAGATACTACAGCTTATATATGTTCAGGACTTACCAATATTAGTATTAAATTGGAAACAGTATACAGCTAAACTAAAACAAATTTCTAGGACATGATTTTTGTTTTGTTTTGTTGAGATAGAGTCTCACTGTATAGTCCTGACTGACCTGGAACTTGCTTTGGAGCCTATATTGGCTTTGAACTCACAGAAGTCTGCCTGTTTCTGCCTCTGAGTGCTGGGATTAAAGGTGTGCACTACCATGTGTGGTGCTAGGACATTAATTTTATGTGTTAATTTTTTTCCTTGGGATGAAAATGATTCATAATTTAACCTTGAACATACTAGTATGGTGGGAGAAACAGAGAAATAAAAAATGGCTTATTATTTGTCTAATAAAAAGTATTCTTAAAGTACTGTTACAAACATACTAAATGAAAACTTTTGTAATTATGAGGTGGAACAGCTTAGTAACTAGAATTGTGTCTTAAAATCCCTAGCTTCATTTATTTGCCCCAAAGTGAACACAATTTGATGTTGCTAGATAAAGGCATATCACTTCTAGGGCAGTGCTTGAAACTCTATCTACAAAATCGAGACAGGTAGAGGTTTCTAGTTCTATAGAAAGAGATGAGTAATCTGAGCACTTACAACTGACTGTGGTCTTTCTCTTTATTAGGCATTTGGGCCTGGACTTGGTGCCTCGGAAGGACTTTGAAGTAGTGGATTCAGACCAGATTAGTGTTTCAGATCTCTATAAAATGGTAAGAAATCTTAACAAGGAATGGATTGTTCCTTTACAGCTCATTTTTCTCCTCTGTTTTCCCCTGATAATGTTGTAAATTGTATGTTTTTTAAAGCAACATTTTAAAAACTGTCCTTTTGCTTCTGTCTCCGTATTTAAGAAACAACTAATTTTAATCTGACGTCACACTTTCCAAGTGTAAATACAAAGCAGAGATGTTGAACTTACTATACTTTCTAGGGGTTACTTCTCTGTTAATTTTGCTCTGTTGGTTTCTCTACCACTTGTGGTAGTTAGTAACATTATATACTCCTGTATTTCCTTTTATAATGAAAAGATGACTAATGTAGCAAAGAACCAGTTGTTAGTTAGAACAATGATTTAAAAAAAAGTGATTGAACCTGAAATTAATATGCTAATCTTTCTAGAGACATGATGTTGTTAAGAAGCATATTCAGGGTCCTGCTGTCAATCACCATCCTCATAGTTTGTATATGTGGTCTATAAACAGTTAGAAAATGGAGGGAACTCAAGTACTCTTAACATACAGGGGTTTCCATTCTTGGGATGAATATTGTGTATAACAAAGCCTATAAATATCTGACAGATCCTTAGATGTATATTGTTTATTATAAAAAATATACTGAACAAATAAAATTGGCCTCCACTTAATGTAATTTTTTCTAGTTATGATATTGAATTATAAACTCAGACTAAAGGATACTCAATAAAAATGATGAGCCTTAAACCCCTGTCATATTATTTAGTAGTTGTGTGACATAGTTATTTAACCACTTCTAACAATAGACCATGTATTACTGTATAATACCTAAGTCATATAATAATTATAGAAATATGACATTGTGTATAACTAAGTGTATATAAAATTTTGGACATAAAATAAAAGATCAATAGATCTAAGTAACCATTTTAATGAAAAAAATCTATAGGGTTGACTGATAACCACAATTATATTTTACATGCTGGATAATAAGTAAAAAAAAAAAACGTACAACATTATGATGTAAAATATAGTAGAAACTTAAGGTGAGAAGTTCAGACTAAGGAACTTCACTTTTAAAGAGTTTGTAGTGATTCAGAATATATGATGAAAACCTGCAAGTTTTAGAAACTTAAGAAAATGAAATACTTTTATTTAGCATAGTACTGATTAGTGCTATCATGAACCTATGTTAGAAGCTCTTAGTGGAATAAATAATTACCCTTGCATGTACTGCACAGCATAAATAAGGTGTATGCTGATGTTATTAGAATTAATGATTGATATTCTGGAGACCAGAAAAGGTAAGGAAGGAACTTCCAAGAATGGCACACAACATAAGGAAATGGCAGTTCCAGGAAATGTGAGATAATTTTGGCTAAGAAAGAGTCAGGAGCCAAATTGTGAAGAGCTTTGTAGGCCCCAAATTAAATTCTCTCCAGAGGTCTGATAGAACATGATAGTGACATGGTAAGTTTTTCAGATCATAAAATGCAACCACAGAGAAGTCATTTAAGTAAGAGACATTAATTTCAGTAGTTTAGACTGGAGCCAGGACAGTAGAAGTGGTAAGAAGGTGTTCAATATTGAATATACTTTGGCATTAGAGCCAGTTATTGATAGATTGAATTGGTATGCACATGTACAGGAAAGAGATAGATCAAAGGACAGTGACTCCTGTGTTTGATCTGCCCAGATGATAAAAGGACAATGGGGAACTATACAGAAGAATCAGCTTTGGGGGTAAGCAATGGGGAACCAAGAATACTGTATATTTTGTTTTCAAGTTTATTGTATCTTCTAAACTTCAAAAAATGGTATTTAAAGTCTGTGGTTCAGGAGTAAAGTTTAGCTATAGTAATTTTAGCATCATCAGGAAAACTATCTATATTTGAAGCTCAGCAAGAGGATTGCTTTCTTTTCTCAGCAAGAGGATTTCTACAGTGAAATCCAATGATAACAGATCCCTCATAGTGGATAGCCATACATGAATGAACAAAAATCCCTACATAAAAATTAGAGAACAGCGCAAGTAATGTGTGGAAGATCTAAGCAGGGAAAACGGTGATTGTTGCCTGCAAAGAAAAAGAAGAAAACAAATACAGAAAGAGTACAGTAATCCACATAGCTTTTAAAAATTTAAACCAGCTGCATGGTGGTAACACACGCCTTTAATCCAAACTCTTGGCAGGCAGAGGCAGATGGATCTCTGAGTTTGAGGCTAGCCTGATAGACAGAATGAGTTCCAGGACATCCAGGCCTACATGGCGAAACTCTGTATTAAAAAACTGAAAAAAGAAAGAAAGAAAGAAAAATCTTCCTGACTTATCCCCAAGTGGGACACCAGTATAACACAACTCCTGTGCCCAAGGCTCATAGAGTAATTGTGAAAGAGGGTGTGAAGAAAAGAGTCAGAGAACAGGGAGAAAGAACTGCTTTGACAACATGAGGAGGATGTTGCTCCACGAACTCTCATCAGCTGTGATTACTTGTACAAGACCCACACGAGACCATACAAGTCAGCATACCAGAATGGTTGAGCAAAGAACTCATGAACTTCTACCTCTAGTTTAGAAACTACAGGCAATTGAGGAAATGAGAGTCAGGTCCCCTAACAATCTAGATTGCCCATGCCCAAGTGGTCAGTTCTGTTCCCATGTACATATGGGCAACAATAACTAGACTCAATAGGATATGAATATGTGTGCACACAAAACAATAGTAATTATAGTAGAAGAGGACATGAATTTGCAAACATCATAATAAGATGGGAAAGGATAAGGTAGATGGCTCAATGGTTGAGAGCACTTACTTCTCTTCCAGAGGACTCAGTTTTTATTCTGGTACCTTCCAGAGTAACTCCAGTTCCCAGAGATTTATGCCTCTGATCTCCACAGGCACCTGCACTCACATGCACATTCCTTCATGCAGACACATATGCCTACACATGTTGTAAAATAATGAAAAAGAAATCTTAAGAGAATAAAAGTAGGAGAGAGAAGCTACAAAGATGAGAGATTTAATCTCAGTATAATGGGATTAATGGACTTTCAAAAGGAAAAACAGACATAAAGGCGTAGAGAGGGGGAGGGGAGAGAATCTTTTCAAGATAGTACTGAAGAATAAATTATTCCTTCAAAATGAAGTAGACAAGGGGTGGGGGATGGGAGGATGGGAGGAGACCAAAGGTACTATGTGCCATCCAAATGGAACCTGCCCCAAATGAAATGGGCAAAGAATTATGATGCAGTCAGGATAAGGAAGTCCCAAGGTATCATTTGTACAAGTATTTAAGAGAAAAACTATTGAGAACTGGTCTATATTAGATGAGAAGAAAGTAACCAGGAAGATTATCTGTAGAAGAAAAACTAAATTATCTGATAACCTTAACTTTTCTAGATCATGTAATTGAAAGATAGTTTATAGAGCTATTGGAGGACATAGGAAAAGACCCTTTACAATTGGTATTTCCTATCTGTAGGTTCCATATCTGAGGATTTTTTACCAACTTCTAATATAAAATAATCAGAAAAAAAGTTATGTCTGTTTTAAACATGTCATTATTCTAAACCACATATCTTACTTAAGATTTCTACTGCTGTGATAAAACACCATGACCAAAAGCAGTTTGGGGACAAAAGGGTTTATTTCGATTCCCCTTCTACATCACAGTCCCTCATCAAAGGAAGTCAAGGCAAGAACTCAAGGCAGAAACTGAAGCAAAGGCCATAGAGGAATGCTCCTTACTGGCCTGTTCCCTAAGGCTGGCTCAACCTGCCTTCTCAGACACCCCAGGACCATCTGTCCAGGTGGTGGCACCACCCACAATGGGATGGGCCTTCTCACATCAATCACTAATTAAGAGAATGTCTCACAGGCTTGCTACAGGCCAGTCTTATGGAGGCATTTTCTTAATTGTGGTTCCCTCTTTTCAGATAGCTCGTTTGTGTCACGTTCAAAAAAAAAAAAAAAAAAAAAAAACAAGAAGCTATTCCTAAACAGGATGGTATAGCCACTCATTATATAACATTTACATTGTAGTTGATATTTTAAGTAGTTGAGAGATGAGTTAAAGAGCAGAATGTGTGTAGGCTGTATCCATCCTGGAGGTTATCTGTGAGGAGGCCTAGAACAAATTTCTGACTGATAACAAAGAATGACCATAATTTAAAGAAAAAGAATTATATCCATGATAAAAATATGAAACAAGAGGACTAAAATTGAAGTATATTGACTTACTTAACTGAACAATATTTAGGTTATAATGTTATGAATAGTTTTAACCAAAAGTTTTGAAAGGAAGATAGATGAACAGAAGAAGATGTAAACAAGAGTTAACTGCTGTAATAAAAAGTGATTAGATCATTTTAAATTTGGAATAAAAGAGAACATTATAAATGTAACATTTAGAAGTAATTTATAAATTCTGGAGAAAAACACAGTAAGGAGTTAAAACTGTTTCTCTCTATGAAGCAGGACAGATGGGCAAAAGACTAGTAATTTTTATTGTAAGCCTTTAAAGATATTTAGCTTTTAAAATACATGCTGTTCTTTTATTGCTTTTTGTCAAAATACTGATTTATCATAAAAGCTTAAATTCAAGACTTTTATTTTCTATTTTATTTTCTTTTGTGTTGTGCATTTATTTTTACATTGAAAGAATCAGGTATATAATAAGCTGGGCGTAGTGGTGCCATTCCTTTAATCCTAGCACTCCAAAGCAGAGGCAGGCAGTTCTCTGTGAGTCTAGGCTAGCTTGGTCTACATAGTGAGTTCCAGGACAGCCAGAGGATACATAGTGAGACCCTGTCTTGAAAACACAAATAAACAAATAAACCAACAAAAAAGAATTAGCTATAATGAGGAAAAACTGATTGAGAGTTTACAAATTCACCACTTAGGGATTTATGTTAGCTCATATACAGACGTATAAATAATGTGGGCCTGGTGTGTGTAGAGGACATACTACTCCTCTTACTGAAGTCCCAAATTCTGTTCTCAGCACCCTTGTCAGGCAGCATACAAATGCTTGTAACTCCAGTTACAGAGGATCTGATAACTTCTTCTGGCCTACATGAGCACCTGGATTCATAAGCACGTAGACACACATAAGATATACACACATTCTCTCTGTCTCTCTCTGTTTCTCTCTCTCTCTCTCTCTGTCTCTTTCTCTTTTTCTCTCAAGAATTAAATCTTTTATGAGGCTGGAGAAATGACTCAGCAGTTAAGAGCATTGGATCTTCTTCCTGGGTTTGATTTCCAGTACCCACATGGCAACTAACAACTATCTGTAACACTAGTCCCAAGGGATTGACACCATTTTCTGGTCACTACAGGTACCAGGCACACACATTGTACACACACATATATACAGGCAAAGTACCTATACACATAAATAACAAATAGTAAAATAAAAATTAAAAAACCAAATTTTTTATATAAAGGAAATGGACGATAATTCATACATTTTTGCTAAATCTTAAAAGTTATCAGTGAGGTTCAAAAAAGTCCTTTTATATTAAAATTTAGATAAAATTAGAGATTATAAATCTAAGCCTGAAACTTTCTAACTCTAGTACTCTTTGTCAAACATTTTCTTTAAAAAACACCTTTATAATGCTGTGCGGTGGTGGCGCACGCCTTTAATTCCAGCACTCGGGAGGCAGAGGCAGGCGGGTCTCTGTGAGTTCGAGGCCAGCCTGGTCTACAGAGCGAGATCCAGGAAAGGCACAAAGCTACACAGAGAAACCCTGTCTCCAAAAACAAAAACAAAAACAAAACACCTTTATAAATATAATTTATGTTGCATTTAGTGCATTGTCTTTTTCATTAGAAAAAAAAAGTCCCAATTGCAAGTGTTAGGTATTAATTATTAATGAAATTTCTTTAAATGCACAGTTTAAATTTTTATTGTTTGAGGAAAGCTGTTATGTTTCTTCCTTTTTCATCTTCCTCAACAAGTTTAAACCCATTTGTCAACAACAGAAAGTCAGTTCTGCAGAAGATACTAAAGTATTTTTTAAAAGCAACACCAAAATGTTTGTATTAACGTTTATGAACTGGATACAGGTGGAAATTACAAAGAGAGTATCCAAATTGTGCCATGCTTTGGCATGTTGCTCAATACATTGTAACCCCTACTTCATTCTTACCCTTTCATGCAGTGTTGTATTACTTTGAAATTCTGTTATCCTATTGTTTTTTAGTACTAATTAATATATTTCAAAATAATGCCTTTATTTTTAAAATGTAATTGATATTTTAATGTATAAATGTTCTCCCATTTCTGAAGCCAATCACTTGACTATATTATTTATCAAAATTAAAGTGTCATTGATAATCCTGATCAGATACCTTCTATTTTCTTGTAAGACTCAAAATTCTTATATATAAATATATGTAATTTTTATTTTATGTGCATTGTCTATTTTGCCTGCATGTATGTCTTTGTTGAGGATGTCACATCACCCGAAATTGGAGTTACAGGTAGTTATGAGCTGCCATGTGGATGCTGAGACTTGAACCTGGGTCCTCTGGAAGAGCAGCCAGTGCTCTTAGCCGCTTAATCATCTCTCCAGCCCCACGACTCACAATTTTTAACACAGTCCCCAGTGTATACATCAGGCAGTTAATTACATTATTCAGTTTAATACTGTGTCCAAAGATGCATAGGTTTGTTTTCATATGGGTAAATTTGATAGACTAAATGGACTAGAGATTGTAAAGGGCTGGAAACATCTCAACTGGAGGAAAATTGTCAGGAGGAGTAATGTAGTCTGTGTATTTCTTAATTTCTAAGTTTTATTTATATTGATATACTATTAGAATAAAAAGATAAATAGAACAATATTTTGCTTCCTGGAAGCTCATAGTCTAAAGTTAGATAGTAAATGTGGAAACATTAATGAAATAAATTCCTGATACTAGTGATGATTGCTGTTAAGAGGTAGGATTTTTGAAACCTGTTTGTTTTGTAAAGTTTATTTTTTTATTTTAATTTATAATTTAATTTAATTTTACATCTCAGCCACGGATTCCCCTGTCCTCCCTCCTCCCGCCCCTACTCCCACTCTCCATCCCACCCTCCATTCCCATCTCCTCCAGGGCAAGGACTCCCCTAGGGATTCAGCTCAACCTGGTAGATTCAGTCCAGGCAGGTCCAGTCCCCTCCTCCCAAGCTGAGCAAAGTGTCTCTGCATAGGCCCCAGGTTCCAAACAGCCAGCTCATGCACTGAGGACAGGTCCTGGTCCCACTGCCTGGGTGCCTCCCACACAGTTCAGGCTAATCAACTGTCTCACTTATCCAGAGGGCCTGATCCAACTGGGGGCTCCTCAGCTAAAGTTTATTTTTTTTCACTGTCTGAGGTCAAGCCAAGAGCTTTGTGCATGCTAGATAAGTGCTGTATCATTGAGCTATACCTCCAACCCTTAAAGTGTTTTAAAACCAGTTTTATATGTGAAGTTTTCTTTTGTGAATATACATTCTATAAATAATTTATCACCTATTAGAGACTTGATTTTTTTACTCTAATATGTATCATGGGAAAATAAAGTTCCAGGAGTAGACATTAATAATCAGTAGTAATTAGCTAATGTTGCTAATAATGTACATAGATAATTATGTATGACATTTAAATTATTATTTAATTTTACCTAGTTATTGTAGTTAAATGTATTTGTGAATGAAATGAAGTAATTCTATTGAAATAATAATTCTCGTCGGGCGGTGGTGGCGCACGCCTTTAATCCCAGCACTCGGGAGGCAGAGCCAGGCGGATCTCTGTGAGTTCGAGGCCAGCCTGGGCTACCAAGTGAGTTCCAGGAGAGGCGCAAAGCTACACAGAGAAACCCTGTCTTGAAACCCCCCCCCCAAAAAAAAAGAAATAATAATTCTCATCCATGCTATGTGAAGCACCAAATGAGTTCTGTTACATATCTTTATATACTTTTAGGGTAGAAACAATGATTAAAAGTTTACTAGTATCAGGCACTAAATGTTTTTGATATCATGATGTTCTTGGACAGGATTTACTCTTAAATGTAAATGACTTTTCCCCTGTAATACATCTGTAAGAATAATACCAATTAAAGAAATAATAAGAATACTAGTTGTAATTACAATTATCCATTTACAATTTGATAGGTACTATATTGAGTTAATCCACATAAACTTCTATGAAGTTGATTTAAGCACAAAATTTTAAACTCAATTTATAGATGAGAAAATACCTAACTGGTAAACATGAGTCAAGATTCAAAACCAGAGCCAATTTCTGTAATTAAGTTCCTAATTTACAATAGAATACTGATTCCCACTATGTAATTTGAGCCTCAAAAGAACTTCCTAGGGGATCCCTGGAGTTCACTAGCCAGCATGAATTTCAGGTTCATTGAGAGCCCTGTCTCAAAACTTAAAGTGGAGAGCAACTGAAGAAGATACTCAGTATTGACCTCTGTCTTACACATGTACATGCACATGCACGCACACCTGAACCAACATTCTGGGAAAGATGAGACAGGTTCTTATCTTTTATATTTGAGGAAAATCTCCATTGGAAAGATTGATATTTTTTTAAATTTCACAGCCTAGGTGTGGGGGAAGAGGCCTCAAGCAGTGAAGAGCTGAAGAAGGGCCCTTCACACACTCTCACCCTCCTCATTGACTTCCATTATGTTCCAGTTCCTACTTGAATTTAATTTGAGAAAAGTGGTTGGAATGTTTGGCTCAGAGCTGTGACATACATGTCAAGCCAGGCTAAATACTTGAAGATAATAAGATTTAAAAAAAAAAAAAGTGGAAGCCAAAAAGAAACCCCCTAGTTCCAGATGCCTACCCCAGCACTGCATTTTGATCCACCGGTTCCACCACTGGGGAGGCCTGCTTCCTTTACAGCCTTATGCCAAAGCTTTTGTGTTCCTCTTCAGTCTCAAACCCTGTGTGTTGCCTCAGAGCCAACGTGAGGCCAGGACTTACGAGTCACCCCTTAGGTTTCCAGCAGCCTTCCCACTTCCATATCTTCCTTCCAGCTATTCAGAGGTTTCCAGACAGGAAATATGGTGCTGGATTAGCAAGCACAGCTTTTAATTAGTAGTTGTTCACCTGTCCTTTGAAATTCCTACCACTTATTGTTGAAAGAAAAATAAAGCTTTGGATAGCTGCTCCAATAAGTAATGCTGATTTCACTGTCTAGCAGTTACTGTGGGGATTGTTAGATATTTATTATTTCAAAGTACTTAAAATTAGTTTCTCAAAAAAAGTTCACAGCCCTACATGATAGCGCTCAAATTGTAGTCTACATCTTGTAACTTCAGCCAGTGGTAAAGGAACAACATACAAAGATGTTTGGGAGATTCTGTTAAAGGAATCTATTGTAGAAAGCCTAAAGAAACTTCATCTAGTAGCATAGAAAATTATACAATGTGGAAGATAATTGCCAAATCAGCAATCTAGTAACAAGCACTCATCCATGTGTGGCTTGGCTATTGCTTAGGAATAGAGAGGCTTGGGTTTTACATACAGACTTTACCACTTCCTTGTGTGACCCTCAGCAAACCAGTCCTTTACTCTGAGCATTAGTTGTCTCTATGAAATGTGAATAATACTGATTTCAGTGAGATCACGACTATAATAGGCATAGTAGACTGCCTGTTTTAGAGAGGTGCTTAATAAAAGTTAGTTTCCTCCACCATAGAGTAAATCTTTCTATATTTCTTTCTTTCCATAGCATTTATCTAGCCGACAGAGTGTACAGCAGAGTACATCCCAAGTAAGTGACTTTCTCAAACCTCCAAGTTTTTTCCATCAACTCTTTTATAACATCATAAATGTGAAAATACTAAGAAATGACAGGCACCATTTCCTTTGGGGGCCTACTGTGTGATTAAAGTTTTTAGGACATATATAAAATAATAGGCTTCTTTAAGACATTTTACATATCATGTATATTATTATACTCAGCTCATATTTGCCTCCCTAAAACCTTGATTGTGTTATATTTTCATTCTAAGGGGCTTTGGCCTCCAAGCAGTTTGACCAGTCTCCATTCTCCTGTGCAAATTTATTTAAGCACAATTAAAATAGACTGAGGAACTAAAATGATATTTGCAATGGTTACTATTACCACCTAACAGTTTAAATTAAGCATGTCAGATGCTTGTCGAGCTGAGTCTAAATCTGCTGTAGTAGTCCATAAATTGCCAGAGAAAAAATATTCAGTCTTACCTATTTAATAATCCCATTTGTCAGTATAATGAGACTTAATTTATTTTTGTTTCTTAATGATAAATATAATGAGTAACTATTACTTTCCTCACTAGGTAGATACAATGCGCCCACGCCATGGGGAAAGCTGTCGGATGCCAGTACCACATCATTTCTTCTTCAGCCTGAAGAGTTTCACCTATAATACCATTGGGGAAGATACTGATGTCTTCTTTTCTCTGTATGACATGAGAGAAGGCAAGCAGATTAG